AGCTACAAGATCCCAAGTACCACGACCCCTTCTAAACCCAGCCTGGACTTCTTGCAGTTCCCTGCTTATGTGTTGTTCCAGTTGTTTTTGGATGATCTTCAGTAGAGTCTTACTTGCATGTGAAATCAATGATACAGGTTGAAAAGGTGTGGAAACAGGACACATCTCTGTCATATGCCCTTCCCAATTTTGAACCATGCAGTGTTTCCTTGCTCTGTTCTAATGACTACCTCTTGGTCCAAGTATAGGTTTCGCATTAGCACGATCAAGTGTTCTGGGATTCCCATTCTTTTCAGAGTCAGCCACAGTTTGTTTTGATCCACATAGTTAAATGCCTTTGCATGGTCAATGAAACACAGACATTCCTCTGGTATTCCCTGCTTTCAGACAAGATCCATCTAACAGACCAACTACTCATATGCAAGTTCAAGCTAAAGCTGAGGAAAATGAAACTGATCCCACAGGAAACAAAATTTGACTTTGAGTCTGTCCCACCTGAATTTCAGAACCATCTCAGGAACAGGTTTGAGGCCTTGAACATTAATGAGTGAAGACCAGATGAGTTGTGGGAGGATACCAAGGGTATTATCCAGGAAGAGTACAAACTGTCATTACAAAGATAGAGGAGGAAGGAAAAACCAAAATGGATGTCAGAAGAAACTCTGAATATTGCACTGGAGCACAGAGAAGTCAAAGCAGAAGGAAGAATTCAAGATACTAAAGAGCTGAACAGAAGATTTCAAAATGCAGCACAAGATGACAATGTAAAATATTACAAAGAAATGTGCAATTAGCTGGAGTCAGAAAATCAAAAGGGCCGGACTAGCTCAGCATTTCTTAAGCTCAAGGAACTAAAGAACAAATTCAAACCTCGAGTTGCTATAATCCAGGATGCTTTAGGCAGAATGTTAACTGATCCAGAAAGTTAAAAGAAGATGGGAAGAATATACTGAGTCACTGTATCAAAAGGAATTGGCAGACACAGAAGAATTTCATGAAACAACATGTGAGCAAGAAAGAGCCTATGATGATGAAGGAAGAAGTTCAGGTTGCTTTGAAGGAAATAGCAAAATATAAGGCCCCAGGAATAGATAATATACCAATTGCCATATTTCAGTTAACAGATGCTGCCCTGGACATGCTCACCAAGTTATGCCAAGAAATCTGGAGGACAACCACTTGGCCGACTGACTGGAGGAGATCTATATTTGTTCCCATCCCAAAGAAAGGCAACCCAACAGAGTGTGGAAACTATAGAACAATCTCACTGATTTCACATGCAAGCAAGATTCTACTGAAGATTATCCAAAAACTACTGGAACAGCACATCAGGAGAGAACTGCTGGAATTCCAGGTTGGGTTTAGAAGGGGTCCTCGTACTAGGAACATTGTAGTTAATGGCAGCATATCTCTGGTACTTGAAAGTCCACCAGTGTTTCTATGGAATAAAGGCAGGTAATCTCTTCCTATTGTTTCCTTCCTATCCTGCCTTTTTTTGTTGCTGGAGATTTTAGAATTTGTATCAGCCAGTTCACAGGCACTTGCTTTGCTCTTGTTATTTTCAGTGTCTGAAAACCTAATGGAGGAGCAGCTGTGAGTTGATTCTGACTTGAGTAGTTACTATGTGCTGTTGAATTGGAACCAACTCCCAGCTAACCTTCCAGCAAGTTTCAGAAATTATAAATGACATAGGAGGAGACTGTCTATCTTTCTCCCAGGAACTGAGTAGTAATAGTATAAATAACTCAAGGAATCTGAGTAGTACAATGGTTGAATAGCTTATCTGGAAGGTCAGTAGTTCAAACACTGAAGCTACTCCACAGGAGAAAGGACCTGGAAATCTGACTTTGAAAAGACTGTTGTTTTTGTCAGGTGCCACCTAGATGGTGCTGATTCACACTTACTCCAAGCACAACAGCATGAAACACTGCCTGGTCCTTCTCCAGGCTCACATCGTTTTATTTGTGCCCACTGGATCAATCTCCCATGGAAAATTCTCCCCCTTTTTGCTGACCCTCTACTAAACCAGAAAAGAAGGACAAAGACTACAGCCTTTAATGTGGATTACATCTCAACATCAAGAAAATGGAAGTTCTCACCATTGGACCAATGGGCTATATATCAAGACAGATGGCAAAAAGATTGAAGTTGTCAGTGGTATCATTTCACTTGGATTCACAATCAATATTCATGGTAACAACTGTCGAGAAATAAAATGACTTGTTGCACTGGGGAAATCTGTTGTCAAGGACCTCTCCAAAATGATAAAGAACATTGATGTTAACAAAAAGATTATGGTGCGCCTAATCCAACCCATGGTATTTTCCACTGCTTCCAATATGTCTGAGAGCGGGACAATGAATAAGGATGACAGAAGAATTGATATCTTTACGTTGTGATGTTGGAGAGGAATACTGAATATTTTCATGGACTTCCAAAAGAACAAGCAAGTCCATCTTTGAGGACGTGCACCCAGGTTGCTCCATTGAGGCAAAGATACTGAAACTTCATCTCAAACTATTTGGGCATGTTGTCAGGAGCGGGGTGGCGCTGGTGTCTATGCCTGGAAAAAGCCTAGGAAAGGTGGCAGGTCAGAGAATGAGAGAAAGATCTTTAATAAGACAGATTGATATGGTAACTGTAATAATGGCCTTGAGCATATCAGAGATTGTAAAGGATAGTCTAGGCTTCAGATCTGTTGTTCATAGGGTCATTATGAGTCATAGGTGGTATGACGACACCTATTGCGCTGTCGACTCAAAAGCACACAGTTCAAATTTGTCAGCTGCTCTGTGGGAGAACAAGAGGCTCCTGAGGGATTTACTGTCTCTGAAAGCTTGCTGGAGGGTCACCTGTGAGTCAGTCCCAACTCCACAATACACAACAAAAACCACTTTACCTTGCCTGGGAAACCCTATGAGGCAGTTTTGTTCTGTGGTATAGGGTCAATTCTACTCCATCATATAGTGTCACTAAGAGTCAGAATCAACTTGATGGTACACAACAACAACAACAACAACATATTGAACTTCATCTCAATGATAAACTTGAAGGACACTCCCAATTGGCTTCAATATACATTTACTAGTAGGCCCATAGAGATAGGCATGAGGAATGTTTGCTAAGATGTAAAAAGCAGCTGGAAGCTGGAGCCTCATTCTTATGCAGTTCAACAGAATATTTACTCAGCATGGTCTCTAAGCCAGGCACTGTAGCCATTGCTAGGGCTGCACAGTGAAACTCAATCTTCATAATCAGGTGACTTAGTAAGATTAGAGACCAGAAAGTCACTGGACCCTGGAGAGACAGAGAAATAGAAATATAACAAAGAATGAACAGAGGGTGGCCTACAGTAGAAGGAGACTTGGTGGGAAAGTGGATTAAGCAGTGATCTACTAATAGAAGGGTCATCTGGAATTCTCCAGCCACTCCATGAGAGAAAGGGCAGTTTGCTTCCATAATAACTACAGTCTTGGAAACCCTGGGGGCCATTTCTGCTTCGTTCTATTGATCGCTTAGGAATCAACACTGATGCAGAGGCAGTGAGTTTAGCTTTTGGTACCAAAATCCAAAACAAAATCCACTGCTATGAAGCCAGTTCCACTCATAGTGGCACTGGGTTTCCAAGGCTATAAATCTTTACGGGAGGAGGCTGTTCATATAGTAGCACAGAGCTTTATGCAGTATGTGACCAGGGGTACTTTTAGTTGGGGCAGGGCTGTCCTTCACAAAGAGGTTCACCTGACAGGGGCTGCAAGCTTATTTCTGAGTTTGCGCACTTGAGAGGGGGCCTGGCAGTTTGAGAAAACAGCCGGGGCTGCACTGTATTTACCTCTGTGCAGGCTCCGGGACCACCCTGGAGAGAATGAAGGCTGTGGCAGAGCTGGCACAGTGCTCCCGGAGGCTCCGTGGGCCGCAGCCTCAGTGCCACACCCTCGGCCGGGGCCAGGTGTGCGCCCTTTCCGTGGCGAGGGGGGAGCCCCGCGGCTGGGCGAGCACTTTTCAGGCTCAGCGTGTGCTGTGTGTTTGTCTGCCTCCTGAGGGCTGGGTCCTCCTTATTCACAGGTGAGTCACACCCTGAAACACAGGCTCTCTTCCTGTCAAGACTGAGTCAGGTAGAAGAGTCGATAAAACCACCTGATCGAGGAAAAGGAAAGCAGAGCAGAGCGCAGAGTGAAAACCAGCAGCCGTGAGGCGCCTGGCAAGGACCCCTGCAGCGGCAGACGGAGCCCCCGCCCCGGCCATGCCTGCCCCGTGGCTGGGCTGCTGCCTCTGCTTCTTGCTGCTCCTGCCTGCTGCCCGGACCACCTCCAGGAGGGAAGGTGAGTGGGAACTTGCCTTTCTCCGCAGACCATGATGGCTGAACGCACTCCTGGGAATTCCACTTTGTTGAGAATTTCTTTAGCTCTCTCTTCTCCTGACCCAACTAGGGCTTCTCCTAAGATCTGTATAAAACAAGACACCTCAACCCCATGTCTCACACACGAACGCACACCCCTCCCCAATAGTCCATAAAGGGATGTGATTTTTAAAATGTGAAACTGCTAGTTTGCCCCAAACAAGGATTTTTCTTTACATAAGCAGCGTTCTTTCTGAACTCTTTTCGATCATTGTGCCCCTGTTTAATCAGTAATGTGTTGATATACAAATTCTTCTCCCATTCTGTGTTTTTATTAATGGAATTTGAGAGGGAATGCTTTTCGTGAACACCACGATGATTATAAAGCACCTCTCCAATCACCCTTCTGAAATCCACTTTTCACCTATGGAAAGGAAAAATGAGCCTTAGTATGCTCATCAAACTTGATTTTTGCACAGCGCTGCTTTTTCTTGTACTTTCAGCAGTATTCACTGAGCATCTATGTCGTATCCTATTTGAGCTTACGCACTTGTTACCAGTAGGTAGAAAGACCTTCCAAGAGAGGGGTCGAAGAGTGACTGCAACAATGGCCTCATATACAGCATGAATAATGAGGATGGTGCGAGATCGAGCAAGGTTTCTGTTTGTTATACATTGGGTCACTATAAGTTTGAGCTGATACTGTGTTATCTGGGAACAATTGGCTGTCACATCCAAGAAACTAAACTCATGTAAACAAGACTTTTTGAGAGCCTAGCAACTGTTTACTCTATGTGTCAGCTATGACAACTCATAACGGGTGTTTTCCTTGTCACTTGATTTTTTATCGATACTTGACTGTGTAATTACCCTGGATTTTTATGTTTATATTGCCTTCTGCACCCGGTGGCGTTTCAGCAGTCATTTCAGTAGGTCCAGGGCCAAGAGTCATTTTCGCACATATGAACTTGAGATGATGTTCATGTTCAGATGGAATTATTGTATTAGGCATCCAATCTATCACCATGCACTCCGCGTAACGGTAACACAAAAGGCGTTTGACTGTGTTTTGATGGACACAGGTGATATAGCATCTCTCTTCTCTTTTAATGCCTCAAAGTAGTCCTGGAATGAATCCCTAGTTCCTCATCTTTGCTTTCTATTGTTTCATATTGAGTTTATTTCTGCTCATTGTGGTGCTAGAACTTCATAGGCTGTGTTTTTACAGAGGCAGGTTACCAGAATTTTTTCTTGCAGAGCTCCCAGGATGGTACCATTCGGGTGACAAAGAGTGGTAGATAGTGTGTAAACAGGTGTAGGTATGATCAACTTTGCTTTATAGAAAAGTTGCTCGTCTGCATAGTAAAGTGGACTGGGGCCACTGTATAACAATGAAAGGATTTTTTTTTTTCTTTTCAAAGAGAAAAGCAAACTGGGGGGAGGGGTGGGCAGAGAAGAAAATGTACAACAATGCATGAATGGAAATTCAAAGTCTCTATAAACTCATTAAAATTTCAATTAAAAAAGGGGGAAACTATTAAAAAATAAGTAAAAGTTGCTCATGTGGGTGGAGTGGTACAAGAAGAGTAAAATAAGCAGTCACTTGATGTAATATCAATGGGAGATGACCAGACACACTACCATAGAGTAAATTAATTTGACTAATAGCAACTGTCCATTGGATTTCTAAGGTTGCAAATCTTTACAAGAGAAGACTATCTGCTCACCTTTTTCTCCTATAGAGCCTGGTGGATTTGAACCAGAAGCCTTTTGGCTTGATATGTTACACACCATCCCACCAGAGTTCCATGGAGATAGTAAGATGGTAAAATGGAAAGAATTTGGTGAGCCCAGGGGAAGATGTGTCAGAGATATGAGTCAGTTAATCGGAATTGTGAGAAATAAAATTGAAGAATCTAAGAAGGGGCCAGGATTTGAGGTTTGTGGGGTTGGCCAGTCAGTGATGTCATTGAAAGAAATGAAGACATGAAAGATGGATCAGATTTGAGAACATGGTTGGGCAGGGGTTGAGAGGAGCGAATGCGTTCTCGTAGGGACTTGTTGCCTTTCAGTATAATTGTTCCATGAGTCCCACTGAAGTGCTGAAACTATACTTTAGAAGCTTAGAAGATAGATTTGAAAAATGAATCTGGAATCCCATGGTCAAAGTCCTTGGCTATGGATGAGATTGTGTAGTAGGGAGAGGTAAGTGAAATATCAACACTTTAAAAAGGAGCAAGAGGAACAAGGAAGGAGAATCAGGAAGAGTGAGCATTGAGGACAGACGAGAACCAAGAAAGAGGACCACTCTGTTCGCCAAGCGAAGAGTTTCAGCAATGTGAGGGTAATCAATAGAATTCTGAGAACTGTTTACATATAAAGACTGAGGACTAAAATGACACTGGAATTTAATTATCAGGTGAGGTGGTGGGGTCCCCCCCATGATCCATATTTTTTTAATGTAGAATTTATTTTATTTTGTTGTTACTATTGTTGTGGAAAATCGGTATTGGTTCAACAGTTTCCACATGTACCACACAATAGCATTGATTGCATTCTTTAAGTGTGCAACAATTTTCACCTCCTTTTCTGAGTTGTTCTTCCCCCAGAAACATAAACTCCTTACCCACTAAGGTTCCTGTCTAATTTTTCAAGTTGCTGTGGTCAATTTGATCCCATTTAGATAGATCTTAGAAGAATACATTGATCAAGGCAGTTATTGTAGAATGATGCTTTCTCAATCAATGGTCATGTATCACTCATTTAGTTTCTCACATACCCTGCGATGGAAGAGATGCTTTGAATAGTGGCTCTTGGGGGCAGGGAGCAGGGGTGTGTGTGTGAAAAAATGTATTTTTTCTCATAAGATTGCCATTTTAGTTGTTGAGGTAGTATAGCATCTTGCTTGTTGAGCACAAACTTTGGAGTAAGTTTGCCTGGGTTCAAATCCTAACTCCATCATTTACCAGTTGTGAAAACTAAGCATACTATTTTATCTAATTAGTTTTCTCATTTATAAAGTGGGAATAATAAATTGCTTTGATAGCTAAATATATTGTACCTTGCCTAGTGCCTGGTAAGTACTCAACGGTATTCAATAATACTATTGCTGTTTTTATAGCCAACTCTCCTGCCAGTGTTGAGTGTTCTTGCTTTGCCTTCTAAATTTTCAGTGGTGAAACGCTTAAAGCAGGACTTTGAACTTCTTCTATTTAGATCTTCTTCTAATTAGTTAGATTTTCTACTGATAACTTGCATTCCCACTGCAGGAACAGGGAGCTCTGGTGGCTTAGTGGGCAAGGAGTTGTGCCTCCAACCCCACTGTAATTTCAAATTGAATTTAGACAACCCCTTCTCCTTGTCTTTCATCACCTACTTGAGCTCATCTAATACATATCTAACAAATTGGTGTCTCACTAAAACATGCCAAAACATAAACTGGAAACAAAACCCACTGCCACTGAATGGATTCTCAACTCCTAGTGACCCTGTGGGCCCCCAAAAAAGGTTACTCCAATCAGATCATCTCCCATTTTCCAGTAGAAAGTTAAGAACTTTCGTCCAGGTTGGTTATGAAGTAGTACATAAAATAGTCAAATGTTTCTTTATATTTAAATTGTTGTTGTTGATTGCCTTCAAATGGAGTATAACTCATAGTGACCCCATGAACATAAGTCCTAAAGCCTTTCTAAAACTATCGACATTTATCAAAGTTCACGGAGTTTCCGGAGGCATGTTGTTTAGGAAGTGGATACCACTCATGCTTCCAATATTTAACCTAGCCAATTAATTATACAGACATAGCTTAAGCTACATGATTTTAAAAAGAATTTTCTAACTTGAATATGTCAATTTATTCATTTATATATAATGAAAAAATGATACTCAAACTCTGTTCATCTTGAATATTAAAGTGTTTATTATTCAGAAAGTTACTTTAATAGTTTCTTCTTCATGTCCACTGAAGGTGGCTTGAGATATTGTGCCTATTTGAATCTGTAATGCTGTCACTGGAAAGCACATTCTTTTCATAGCATTGTAGAGTTTTGAAAAATCATCCTAAGTGCACATGGCCTAATTATTTTTGAAAACTTTTGTTTATGACAACTTTTAATGTTCATAGTGGTGAAGTAATCTGTAATTATGCAAGTTATATTAAATATACCCTCTTTTTACAGAGTATCTGAAATTACCTTGATCAGGTCATTTTAGATTATCATGTCTTCCCAAAATAATATTTTATTTTAAAAATAATAATGAAAAAATAATTAGAAGAATAATTAAATAAAAACTAGTTAGGAGAATAATTTTAAAAATATTTGGAAGATAGAATTGTGTTAGAGTATGAATAACAGATAGGCTTACATTCTAGGTTCTCTGTACTGAAGTTAGTCACTGGTTTGTCACCACTAGTCCAAGAAGCTGAAGAAAGTATTGATTTGTGGTTAATGATTATTAGAAAGTTGGGAGCATTTAATTAATATGTTGAGACAATCTTGGAGTTTTTTTTTTCCACATTTAAATTCTTAATGACTCGTCTCAATTGAGTTTTTTCCCCCTTAGAGAAATTTGGAATGTGAAAAAACAAGACTTAAGTTAATAGCCTTATTAACTCTAGATTAATAAAAGAAGAATAATCAGAATATAAGCAATGAGAAAGTTCACACATTGTGAAGAATCTAACTAATGTCACAGTTTGTACAGAAATTTGTCACATGGGAATCTAAACTGCTGTGTAAATCTTCATTGAACACATAATAAATTAAGAAGAAGAAGAAAGATTTTAATCCTCTATTGTAGACCAATGTAGGCATGAGAGCACTATAGATTTTGGTATATTCTAATTTACCATATTTCTTTGCAAATTAGTCACATAGAAGACCTAATATATTGCTGAATCATTGGTGACTATATTTCAATATAACTCCCAGGTAGATGACATAATATCTGAATCATATTCAAAGCCAAAGGCTAAGACTTTTC